GTTTTTTCCACCTCCCTTTAAAACCAGAATCTGGTATGGGACCTCGGCCAAGTGAAATTTTGTACCACCAAATTTTGCTGTGACCTTTATGAAAGAGAACCCCGCAGCCTAAAGAAACGTTCTCCTGTTAGGCTGGGGGAGGCGTCTCACCGTTGGATGTAGGAGTTGTTCACGCCGCGGTGATCCAGGTCGTGGCTGAGGGCAGCGACCAGCAGTGCGAGCACCTCCAGGTCCGTCAGCTTGCTCTGCTCGGCCGGATGCGGCGGAGGGGAGAGAGAGGGAGAGAGAGGGAGAGAATGGTCTGGTGAAGGGCGCTGGGCCACCTGATTGCGGCTCGTGTTTTTTCTCGGTGCTTTACACCTGTGCATTGATTACGGCCACGCAGGGCTCAGGCTGGCAGGCCACGCAGTGTGGGAGCAGTCGTGGGATTCGGAATGCCACTTATCAACAGAGAAAAGCTGAAATGTCTCAAACATCCGTCATCTGTCCACATAATGACTTCTCAGTGATCTACATATATGTGGAATGATCAGAATAACCTTTAAATAACGGTTTTCTCTCCGACTTTAATTCCCTGCCGATTCTGCTGCCTTCACTGTCTGATACCAGTTGCTAGACCCTGAAGGCACACGAACGACGTGAGTATGAAGCAGGACAGTAGGAAACAGGATTAGGAAGGAAAATTTGGCTTTAAAAAGTTGCATAAGATATTCTAAAGCCAATGACAGGTCATCTTTGAGTATCATCCACTTGTGTCATCTACACTACTGTTCTTCACGGGTAAGGACACAATGACTATTCCCTGCTCTGGCTGTCCAAATGTGCACTACGGAAGCAGAGACAGAGAATAACATGTTAGGATTAAGTTTTTTTTTTTAAAAAATAAAATAAATAGGAGGGAAGCTCTGAATTAAAAAGTGGCATGGTGAATGCCTGGGATCACTCACCTAGAACAACTAGAGGATTCCCGCCGACCAGACTCTAATAGAGATGGGCACAGATTTGGCCTGGAAGGGAACCAGCTGTGGGAACACGTCCGCTTTGATCTTCCTCGCAAGCGGTCTGCGGTCAGTGCATGTGAACCAGACCTCCCCACGGGACAGCACTCATCAAACTGCCTGAACCTGCGGTAGGCATCAGGGCCCTGCCTACGGAGCCGCCAAGCTCAGGCCCAGGTGTGTGAGGGATTCCGCTGTGGCAGGTTGACCACAAGCATGAGAAGTCTGATGCTCGCCCTGTAGAGCTGACCCCTAAAGAGAATATCTACTTGTCTAAGCACCGTTCACATTTAACATGAAGCTATTTAAGGGCTATTCTAATATTCCATGTACAATATGTGTGAAAGAAAGGGAGCAACTAAATACTTGCCATACTAGCCCTGTTTCATTAAAACACAATTAATTTTGTTACTGGCAAGAAATATTATTCTTAGTCATTAGCGCACATTAAAAAAACTTGAAAGAATGTGTTATACATTTTATTACTAGAGAAACAAAATGTTTAAAACATAAATGGCTATAAAAGTACCTGAATTTTGCCTGCTTTTAGGGCAGCAAACATGCACTGAGCTGTATTAAAGGCATGTCTCCAGTTATGATAGGCAACGTTCTTCCGGTAATTCTTCTTAACACTCAAAATCCACCTGCAAAGGACCTTTAGGAAATAGAGAGTCAGTGCCAACAGTAACCGCTGACGTTCGGCGCTGCACAAAGCTGTCACGTCTAATCCCCGGGGGAAGCACGGCGCGTGACGGGGAGACCGACACTCGGAGGTAACCTGCCTGCAGTCACGTGGGTCCTGAGGCGGGGCCCGAACTCACGCCAGCAGCCTGGCTCCAGAGCCACCGCCGTGCTGCCACGCTCCACACAGCGCCGCGAAACGAGGCCGGCTCCCAGGAGGGGTCCGGGGCAGGGCCGGGGGC